ACCCAATAAAAAGTTGAGTCGTTTGAACTCTCCAAAAGGGACCAAATATTCATATTTGTGATACACGAATAAAAAGAACGTAGCATGTCTTACCATAGAACAAAGCTACCAAGGACATCCTTTAAAGTGCATATATAAGTTATTGGGCCGTAAAGGTTCATCCATGTCAGTAGAGATAAGAGAAACAGGAGTACCTCCAATGTGATCAATAAGAGAAACAAGGGTACCTCTAAGGTTCATTCAAGATCTAGTCATTGCAATAACCAAATCACAATTGTGTGGTATCAGTGAATCTTCACACACAAATCAAGATCCATAGAAGCATCACCTTTTATGTACATATAAAAAATCTCCAACCAAGATTATAATGAAGTTCTTATACATATTATAATGAAAGCAAAAGGTATATCTGCATTGAAATCGTAAAGAATAGAGAAGAGAAAGAATCAGAGAGACTAGAAATCATCCTGCACATTCAATGTTTTCCACACAATGAATAAGGAAACAACTTGGAATTGCAACCCAAATAAGTACCCTCCTTACTATAACTAGTTGCAGTAACCACATTGATCTGCAAAAGAAGGAGAAAAAAAAAAAGCAGTTTACACTAATCAACATCCAATAAGAAAAGAGAAAACCAAACCAGAGTGAGAGAAAAATAATAGCATAAAACAACTATCACAATAATAATAATAATAAATAAATAAATAGAAGAAGAAGAAGAAGAAGAAGAAGAAGAAGAAGTGGTACTTGAGTGGATTTGCACTCTTTTTAGAAGAACAGATCAGGTCTAGAGGGACCAATCTCAGTGCAAATATTAAAAAGAATTCCTAGAAAGTCTCTACTACAATAGCAAATCAAAAAAATGTTGGGAAACAATAATTCCAGCTAGAAGAAGAACTATCAAAAAAATTTGGTCGATTATATCAAATCAAATATACAAACTATGAGAGAGAGAGAGAGAGAGAGAGAGAGAGAGACCTCTCATTCTTGAACCATCAGAACACAGGTTTCGAGATCAAACCTGTTAGTTCTAAGAGGCCTTTCCTTCTTGAACCATGGGAACACCGAGATCGATTCGAAGCAAATAGAGCACGAAATACAGGTTTTGAGATTAGATCCCTATATTTCTAAGAGAAATAATTAGCAAAAACCATAACAAGCTTTGAGTTCTCGAGATCAAGTTTCTAATCATACAAACCCCAAGCAAGAACAAGAAATCAATAGATACATATAGATTTCAATAGATTAGCATGACAGAAATCGATCAAGAAACACAATAAAGTGAAGTCAAATCAAACTCAATTTAATAGTTACGGTGAAGTGTAGAAATCGAACCAATGGTTTCGGAAAAGTTGGACTGATCTATAACTCCTCGCTTTCAAAGGCAAATCGCAAGCCAATTAGATAGAAATTGAAGAACACATAGATCCAAAGCCTAAATAAAACGATTACAAAGAAATATAAGAAAAATCAGATCGAAACCCTAGATGCCATTCTTGCAAACTTTCTCTCACTAAAAAGTAAAACAACAATGCTTGGTAGTTCGAATTTTCATGGCCCGAATGGCTCGAATGTCTCAAAATGATGTTGTTTTGATACATTCAAGTCTTTCAAGCCACACAAATTCGAGCCACCAAGCATTTTTGAAAGTAAAAACCCTCATCTCTCACTATTGGTGTCTACGCTTCTTTTTATGTGAAAGGGATTTTGTAAAACGGTGGTGCTAGTTAGTACGCTAATTGGTACATATAGCATTATTCTTTGTAAAATATTTTTTCCTTTGAGTAGAGACTATATAGAAAAACGCAATAGGCCAAATTAAATATCCAAATTACATGTATTTTGGGTATCCAAATCGGATCCCCTTCCTCTCCAGCACTCTTTAGTCCAGCACTCTCCTACACTCGTCACACGATGAAGACGCGTGGCGTCTAACAGATCTGAAGGCACCAAGGAGGCCACGTCTATGGAGTTGCTGAGCTTAACAAAACAACACCGAAATTGGTCGTTTTGAGCTAACGGAAGGTGACTAACGGGATGATTCAGGTTAAAAAAAAAATTCCAACAAGTTAAAAAAAAATCCCAACAAGTTTTCTTTTTAATCAAAAAAAAAAAATTCAGTTGACCGTCGGTTGACCGGCCGAACGTTCGACTAGTCAACCGGTCAAACCAAAATTTTTTTTTTTTTCCCTTTTCTTGAAGGGTCTGACCACCGTTAACAAAGTAATCTGTGCAACCATTACCTCTATCAAAGTAATCTGTGCAAACACTTACAACCACAAAATACTTGCACACAGAAAATCTATAAAACCCTCTTCCTTTTCACTCTTTTTTTTGTTTCTTGTCTTTTTGTTTTTTTAATTATAAAACCCTCACGTTCACTAGTTAAAAAATTGACAAAGTAATCAAAATGCTAAAATTGATAATCACTTGCACTACATTATTTATTTATTTATTTTTACTTCTCATGAAGACTTCTCCAAAATATTAGTGTTAACATAACCAACAAATAATGCATTTTTATTGTCATTATAATATTGTATCTGTTAAATTAGAGAAGCTAGAAGCAATTTATCTAAAAAAACAATTAATAAAGGTGAACTTGTTTTCCCACATTAATTACAACATATTAGACTGAAGTTACAAGGAAACTCTATGAAACAGCACAAAAGCAACCATAATTTATAAAACATGATGGTGACAGTTTCAAAATCTGGAAGCCATATATTTAGACAGAAATGCTCATCATTACATTCTTGTAAACAACACGTCCCTGTAAACAATCCAGCTGCACAATCTCAGTGAATTCAACTCAACCACATTAGTGTTGTCCTGTAATACTTCTCTGTAAACAATCTCATTCCCACCTCATTAAATATGCTTATAAACATCAATATCTACAAAATTAACTCTTTGCGAGATATTTTTCATTGTCCCAAAAATAAAATTCCATACCCACAAAAAATCACTTCTACGATTCAATCGACCATATAGCAATAGAAAAATTCACAATCCAAATTGACAATAAACATTCCCAAATTTAATGTTCACAATAAACATTCCCAAATTTAATGTTCACAATAAACATTCCCAAATTTAATGTTCACAATAAACATTCCCAAATTTAATGTTCACAATAAACATTCCCAAATTTAATGTTCACAATAAACATTCCCAAATTTAATGTTCACAATAAACATTCCCAAATTTAATGTTAACAAATATCTATCACTTGCAACAATCTTCATCGGTCTCCAAGAATTTGTGGATATGAAGGTGTAAGGGAATTCCGAAGAATGTTTAGATTAGGAACCTATAAAGTACAAAACAGAATCAGAATGAGTTCAAAGCGTAGAATTGAAGGATATCCACCATAATTCATGTTACATACCCGATTGTAATGTGTGCTAGTCGAGCATTGCGATGACATAAGCAAAGTAGATCCTTGAAGTAAGGCTTGAAAGTTGGTATATTGAGGCTCCCCATTCCATGTCCAAGGCATTGAATTTGGTACTTCAGCATATGGTTGCCTCATATGTGGGAGTATATTCGGAGATATATGTACATCCTATAAATTGAAATTTCTTTTTTGAACATATGGTGGCATAAATTGAAAATTTTAAAGAATGTAAAGATCATAAAAAAAATTAAATAATACCTGAACGCATTGCTTTTTCTTTCTTGAAGTCTCCAATGCCTTTTCCAAGGCACTTTTAATATGTCACCTTCCACGAATGGGATCAATCCTTTTCTTCAGTCCCTTCACTTGAATGACATTTTCACTGCGCTCATTCGTTCTCATTGTAGAGCTAGCATCATTTAATTGTAGTGGTCCATTGGTGATACGTATACGCAACTTATTTTGAACAAATGCGAGCAATTTTTTCCCTTCCTGAACACAATCTTCATATGTTTCTTCCAATTCAGATGTCTGGGATGAAATCATAGTAAAGAGGGAGCACAATGACTTGTATCTACTGCTCTGTTCCAACTTAGGGTCAGCTTGAATGTCGCGCCCTTTGTAATCTTGGACAATTTCAACTCTTGCTAATTTGGTCCACCTTTTCAGGATATATTGGCTTGGAATTTCCATTATGATCATTTCATCTTTAAGAACCTTAATAACATGACTGCACAATATTCCTTTCATCTCAAGCAACCTACAAGAACAAGACAAATTACCATCTTTGTATTCCTTCACTTCACGCATTGTAGATTATCGATATGCTTTGACAATATAAACCAAACAATCATCCTTGTGAACACAATTTGCTACATATAACTTAAGTGAACCCACATATTCATCTTGAAATTCTTTAAAGATAGTCTTTGTGTAAACATCTCCTGCTTGAATCAACATCAGAACTTGGACTTTTATCCTAGGCCACTTATATGACAATGCATACTCAGCTTCATATCGCTTCTCATTAAGCGCGCTTTCGAAGTGAGTGAAAATTGAATCAAATTGTAATCTAATCTCAAGTACTCTTTCAAATCAGCATTTAAGCTTTCACTAAGTTGTGTGCTCTTCATCCCTGCTGACCATGTGTAATGACCCCGACCTCCGATTAATACTAATTTATGATTTATTATGCTTACTAGTAATTTAGGAAGGATTTGGGATTTATTTGCATGTGTATTGCATTATTTATGTGTTTCTATCTGTTTGCGATAAAATGATCTGTTCATGTCTTTGACTTTAAATTGCGAATTGAAAGCCTTATCGGCGTCCGAATCAAAAATCGATTTGATTTATGTGCTAGTTAGGATTTATAGAATTTTATGGTAGATTTAATTAAAATTCGGTTCGGAGCGATCAAATTAGATTAAATAATATTAAATTACATTAGTTCAATTATTTACGACATTGCCATTGGTGGGCCACTTAGGTACCATTGCTTGGAACTCAATTGCACACATTTCATAACATTTCTTCAGCCATTTTTTGTGACAAAAAACGTAGGAAAGAGGGAAAAAGTGAGAGAAGAGAAAACTTACCTTCCATTGAGATTTGGCTTAGAGACTTGAGGAATTGGTAGAAGATTTGCAAAATTGAGCTTCCTCACCTATAATTCAAGACATAAGGTAGAGAATTCATCTTCTCCATTGTGATTTTGAGTTACTTCTTGCATGGTTCATGGTGAATTAGAGTTTAGAGTCAAGTTTTGGTTCTAAATGTTGAGTTGAGTAGGAATTCTTGCATGCATGTGCATATCTTGAAGTTTGAAGTTGTTTTCATGGAAATTCTTGCATGCATGCTTACATTTTGGTTGAAGTCCATGATTTCATCTTGTTTTTGAAAAAATTGGCTCTTAGGAGCATGAATTGGAAGCCTTGAGGTTGATTAAATTCATGCATGTTACATATTCTTCATGTTCTTGAAGTTTATTTGAAAATTGTGTTTAATTGAACTACCGTTGGGCTTTGATTTCTCAAATTGATCTTTGAAACATGTCATATTATGAGTTTACAAGTGTTTTCCAGAAAATTAGCCCAAAAAGATCGAATTTGATGCATTGTAGTTGAGTTTTGAGCGTGAGGTTCAAATCTGGAAATTTCAGATTTTGGACTCACGCTCGAGCGGACAACTCCGCGCTGGAGCGTACATACTGAGTTCATGCAGTACGCTTGAGCGGGTAAAATGACGCTCGAGCGGGAATTTCGTGTATCCAGTACTTTGCATGTGTTTACAGTCCGCTCGAGCGGGGTAATGCATGCTCGGGCGAGGACTTGTGTCTCACGCTCGATCGGGTATCAAGCGCCCACCAAGCGCCAAGCGTGAATTTCTTGCATCCAGTACTTTTACTGTAGCTTGCAGTCTGCTCGAGCGGAGTAATCCACGCTCGAGCGGATTCCTTTTGTCTGCATGTCCGCTCGAGCGTAGAAGGCCACGCTCGAGCAGGACCCCTATTTCAGCAAACAAGGCCCTCTAAGTTGGTCAAATAGGTCATCTATTATGGGAAGATGATACTTGTTCTTAACGGTAACTCGATTCAATTTGCGGTAATCAATATACATCCGTAATGACCCATCTTTCTTCTTCGCAAAGAGAGCTGGCGCTCCCTAAGGTGATGTACTAGGGAGGTGTAGGTCACGTGCCACATCCTGTCTGATCGATCTGCTCTGTCTGTCTCTCTCCAAGCCCACTGTGAGTAATAACTCTGTAAAGTTATGTTTAACCTAAGTATTTTCTGACTGGTATGGTATAATTTGTTTTCTGAAATGCTATCTTACTAATGATGAATGAATGTCTAATTTTTTGAAATGTATTTGTGGCACCCTTAGTTCACATGGCCCTCGCCGAGGGGTAACAATACCGTGACCAATCTGCACGTGGCCCTTGCCTGGGGGTAACAATACCATGGCTACTTGCGCGCAAGTTATGGACCTTTGTGGTCGTTGGTACCAACTATGTTTGTGGGTCTCTGGACCAATCTGTTCTGATAGCTAATGGGTGTACCACGTATGATCTTATGCAAAATCTGAATATGAAAGTGTATATGAATCTGTTTCTGTTTTGAAGTCTGATTATGCTCTGATTTAAATGCTGGATTCTAACTTGTGCTGGACATCATTCATATAACCCCTTTACTCTGTTATTATTCACTGGGCTTTCGCTCACAGTTTATATTATGTATGTAGGTGAGCCGGCACATGACCAGGGCCAAAGTTGACGGCCCTCTGTACCGTTTTGTTAGCCAACCCTTGTGCCTCCCGAGGAGGTTCCGATCGAAGTTTAATGCCAAGGCTGTTTTTCCTTTCATGCTAGTCTCTGTAACTGTTTGTAAAGTCAGATCTTGGGAAGTTCACTTCTGTAAATATTTTGTAAATATTATGTATCTGGACTGGCATGTTTATATATCTATAAATAAGTTTTAAAATGTTTCATCCCATATACGTTATCACAGCTCATTAGACCTTGTCTATTTTGTATTATTGTTTCCGCAGCCCCTTATTATTTGTTAATCTATTCAGAGGCCTTTGGTAATCCACGAATTACTGGCCGGTTACGGTGCTAAACCTACAGGGGCGGGTTTGAGTCGTGACAGAGTGGTATCAGAGCACGTGTTCTACCGCACACACAGGTCCGTATGAGCTTAAGATGTCCTAGTAAGCGTTAGGGGCATTCCATCTGTATGTGTGAGTGTGTGGTAATGTAACTGAATATGAAAACTGAATGTACATTTGAATCAAATAAATTGAAGGAAACGAATAAGATTATGCCTGTGTTTATTATCATTTGATGTCTGTATAGTAAAATGGACAATGCAAGGGGAAGTGGTGAAAGTGAATCTTCAGAGGCTCGCATGGGCCGAATGGAACAGATGTTAGCAGTGTTGACTGAAGCCTGGACACAACAACAGAGACAACAACCTTTGTCCCCTCCGCCTCCACCGGCACAGGCCGAGGTAGATAATGTTGATATCATCAATCTGACACAGAAATTTATGAAAATGAAACCACCAACGTTCTATGGTGGAATTGAACCTTTGAAAGCAGAGATGTGGCTACTTGAAATGGAGAAGTTGTATGAAGTGTTCCCTTGTACCGAAACTCAGAAAGTCCTCCTAGCCACCTACACTTTGAAGGATGAAGCTCGCAGGTGGTGGTTATTAATTCGAAATAGAAATGGGAATATGACATGGGCACAGTTTAATGCTATCTTCTACGACAAGTACTTTCCCCAATGTTTCAGGGATCGGAAAGTGTCAGAATTCCAAGAACTTAAACAGGGAAGAATGACTATAGCAGAATATAAAGCCAAATTCACCGAGTTGGCGCGTTTTGCTCCACATATGGTGGATACTGATTACAAGAAAGTACGGAAGTTTGAGGGAGGGATGGACCTAGAAATATTTGACCGAGTGGGTGTCCTAAAGTTACCTACTTATGTGGAGGTACTTGACAGGGCATTGATGGCGGAAGCCACAATAGCAGCTAAGAAACAAACTACAACACCAACAACAGAATGAAGAGGAAAGAGGACTGGATCCAGTTTCAAGAAAGGCCGGTCGTTTTCGAAAAGGCAATATACAGGATCCTTTGGCAGCTCTAGCCAAAGTAGCGGATCTACTCCAAACTGCCCCGACTGCGGAAAGAAACAAAGGGGTGCTTGTTTTCGGGCATCAGGTGCGTGTTTTCGCTGTGGCAAGACTGGCCACATGGTGAGGGATTTCTCGATGAGATCCAATGAGGTTAACCGTCCTATGACAAGTTCCACCGGGTCTATTTCTACAGCAAGACCAAACGCAAGGGCCGATGTTAGAAGGAATGCAAACAATGAAACATTAAGGCAAGGAAAAGTGTTCGCCTTAGTGCCTGGTGACATACCCAACACCTATACTGTGGTGTCAGGTACACTTTCTGTATGTTCTCGAAATGTATGTGTACTGATAGATTCTGGTTCTACACATTCCTTTGTATCGCATGCTTTCTCTCGAAAATTGACTAGACCAATAGAACAAATGACATATGTGTTATCTGTATCCACATCGTCTGGGGATTCTATGATGTGTACTCATGTTTATCCAGCATGTGATATTATGATTGGTGATATGGTGTTATATGTGGATTTATTACCCTTGGATATTAGTCATTTTGATTGTATTTTGAGGATGGACTGGTTGACTAAATATTGTGCTACCATTGACTGTGCAAATAAAACTGTTGTGTTTAGACCACCGGGTATGCCTGAATTTACTTTTATTGAGAATGGGGTAGTTCCTCCCCCGTATTTGATTTTGGCTATGAAAGCTGTAAAACTCCTTAGGAAGGGATGTAGGGGTTATCTGTGTTGTATACTGACTGCACCATCTGACAGTACTACTGTAGAAACAATCCTTGTTGTTTGCGACTTTCCTGATGTGTTTCCGATTGACTTACCTAGGGACTTAGTTAATACGGAGATTGAATTCACTGTTGAAGTGTTTCCGGGGACACAACCTATTTCCAAGACTCCCTATAGAATGTCTACCTCTGAACTGAAAGAATTGAAAACCCAACTTCAGGAACTGTTAGATAAGAAGTTTATCTGTCCGAGTACTTCACCTTGGGGTGCTCCAGTTTTGTTTGTCAAAAAGAATGATGGATCTTTGAGATTGTGTATAGACTACCGGGAACTGAATAAAGTGACTATCAAGAACAAATACCCTTTGCCCCGAATAGATGACTTGTTTGATCAACTTCAGCGTGCCCAAGTGTTTTCCAAAA